TATATTTGTGTATGTGCAAGTGTGTTATGTGTAAGTGTGTGTGTAAGTGTGTGTGTGCGTGTATGTGTGGGTGTGTGTGTGCGTGTATGTGTGTGTGTATGTGCGTGTGTATGTGTGTCGATATCATTCCATTATCCGCTTCGTCCATCTATTATCTGACATCCCTGCCACATGACCAGCCCATCTCCTCTTTCTGACATGCACTGCTTCAGTAATATCTTTCACGCTAGATCTGACTCATAGCACTTCAACTGGAACGTGCTATAGCCTGTTGGCGCCAATCACCGGCCGCTCTTTTGCTCTTTGAGAGACAGTCAGTTTCCGTTCTTCAGCAAGCGTGTTGTTCCACGTCTCACACCCATATAACATGCATATAACATACTTCAGCCTACAATGAGTTTTTATTGAAATTGATTTGCTGCATTGTTCAGGGAAGAGTATACTAGTAGATGGGTTGAAGCATTGTGCAGGTGCTAGGGTAAATTTGGCATATCCAGGTTTCTCACTGGATAAAGAAGGGAGGTAAGCAAACGAATCCCCCTAGACCCATCCCAAGCTGACCATCGGTTGATACAGCTTCTTTCACAGGAACCGTGACAAAATTGTCAATTGTAGTATCAGACGTGAAGTGACGATGATCGGGAATAAAGTAATTTTCAATTCAGCAACGCGCTACGTTCAGTTCGAGTTGGTGGCTGTGTTGTCTATTCAACGTGTGCTCTGTCACCGGTACAAAATGAAGCTGTTGTTGAAAATGGCGTGGCAATTGCAGAAGAGCATTTTGGAATCAGTGTACGCTTTTATATGTGTATCAGTTTTGATGCGTTTTGTGCTGCGTAACAGCAGTACAAAACGCATATTGTCACGAGGTATATGTGTCTGCAGCAACTTGTCCGCAACTTTCAACTCGGAAACTACAAGAGCTAGGAAGCTGGAAATTTAGGAGAACGTCCCCCACTTACATGTGACCCGGCAAATTTAAATTCAGCCTTCCCGTACTTGCGGGTAACACGTGCGGCCTTGTAGAAGTTTTGGCGGGTAAAATTGTTGTCACAGGAATCACGGAATCTAGGAAACTGAAATTTTAGGGTAATGACCCCCTGCTTACGCACGATCTTGCAAATTCAGCGTTCCCGCACGCCCACGTATCACATACGGCTCCGTGAAAGTTTTGGCGGAGGAAATTATTGTCTCGGGAATCACGAAAGTTGGGAATCTGAAATTTTAGGGCGATGTTCCCTGTTAGTGTGCGATCCCCCAGATTTGGATTCAGCCTTTACGCTCCCTTGATTACCATGTACAGCTCCGTGAAAGTTTTGATGGGGAGATTATAATCTCGTGAACTGCAAAAACTAGGAAACTGTAATTTTATCTTAGCATCCCTTGCCCACGTTCAGCTCCGCAAATCTTCAACATCCCCGTGGAAGTTTTGATGAGAAAAATCATTATTTTGGGAGCCAAAAGAGTTTAAGGGCTAAAAATTTCAGGAGAATTTTTCGTGCCTAAGCAGGGGCTTTACAAACTCGAATTCAGCTTCTAAGCATGCAGAGGTCTTAAGTACTACCACCTGAAAGTTTTGTTTGAAAAATCATTCGAAAGCCAGAAAATTTTGAGGAGGGATTTTGAGGAATTTTCAACTATTTTTCAACATTTCCACTATTTTTGCACAAACCAAAGTGCAAAGCAGTGAAAATTGTTTGGTGGATGGAATTGCACATAACGCATGATCGTACCGGCTATTCTGGCGCACGCTGCTATTTGTTGCATTTGTTCGGACACTTCCTCCGTTATTTCATCGTAAGAAACAGCGTTTAGGAGTGGCCCAAATGATGCTACTTTCAGTAGCAGTTATCGCTGGCCATGCCGTCCATGGCTTATAGCTGGAAAATTCGGGGCTGCTTTAAAAGGCGCATGGTTTAAAAAAAAGAAAAAACAATACCATATAAAGGCAAGCAGAATGCAAATTTATATATTGCTTGTGCATATATTGTGCTTATGATTACACCCAGAGGGTATGGTCACCATGCCCAACAAAACCGGATGGTGAAAAATACAAAGTGTTTTAGGAATTTTAAAAATGGAAACAGTGAATATCTCTGGCTAAAGGATTGAAAGAGGACGGGGGCCTGAAGTCTATGTGTTGACATGCACAGTTTGTTTGGCGCTGCTGGCCCACCATGGAAAGGAACACAATCGAATTTTGACAGTTAAGGAAAAACTGGAAATGCCATTTAGAACTCCCATATAAGTAAGTCTGTATGTACGTTGAACTGGTATTCTGTCTGTGTTTTATCCCTGAACTGTAAAAACAGACAGCAGAATCGATTCGGAATGGAGTGGGAATCATTAGTACGGTGCCCATTCCGCCACAAAAACGAACAATATAAAAAAGTTGGTCAAGAAAGGTGAGATGTTTAGCCAGGGGATTGCAGAATTTAACCAGAATAAATAGCAACGCGCACCAGACTGGCCGGTACGAATTCAGCCCATCTAACGATTGCCTGCTAATGATATTCAATGCTTTGTACTTTTGTCTGTGCAAAAATAGTTCAATCATTGGAAAACAGTTAAAAATTTCACGCACTAGCGCATGAAAGCTGAATTCGAAACCTTGAAGGAAAATATCCTTCCGTGATTCTCGAGTTAATAGTTTAACCGCCAAAATTTTCATGAGGCCACAGGTGATACTCAGGAGTGCGGGAACGCCGAATTTGAATAGGCAGGGTTGAGCGTGGGCAGGGGGTCATTACCGTAAAATTTCAGCTTCCTGGACCCCGTAGTCCCCGAGATAACAATTTACCCGTAAAAACTTTCACTAGCCCGTAGGTAGTACCTGAGAGCCGCGGGAACGCTGAATTTGAGTGAGGAAGGTTGGGCATGGGCAGGGAGTCATTACCGTAAAATTTCAGCCTCCTAGACTCCGTGGTTCTCGAGATATTAATTTATCCGTAAAAAACTTTCGCGGGGCCATACGTGTTACCCGCGGGTACGGGGAAGCTGGATTTAAATTTGTGGGGTCACACGTGGGTGGGGAACTTTCCTCTAAATTTTCAGCTTCCTAGCTTTTGTGTTCCCGAGTTGAAAGTTGCGGACAAGCTGCTGCGGACACACAGACAGCCCCGTGACAATATGCGTTCTGTACTGCTGTTGCGCAGCACAAAACGCATAATAAGGTAGGAAATGCAAGGATTAGGTAAAAAGTCTATGAGTACTGAAGCGCCATAAGTGCCTTATTAAAACCTATAGAGAGGGGAAATAGAAGGGAGCCTTATTTTTGAGTAATGCGGACCTCGAATTTAGATGCGCAGCCCTACTCAGTTTTGACGAAGGCGAGGTACATTTCCGCATCAGCAACATCGCATGGCAATTCCTTTTTTGGAAAAACGAATATTCCTATGCTTTTTTTTTGGTTGCGATTGAATGAAACGAAACATGTTTTTTTCAGGCAGTGGAATTGTCTTTATCGCAGCTGCAGTCACATTTCGGGAAGATTTTTCGATTCAGCGATAAGCCTCGTCGTGGGTCTCTGATACTTCCATTTCTACCATCAAATTGTGGCCCGATGTATGTTTGCAAATTGCAGAGAGTTCAGTAGAGAGAGCCTGTCTTCGGTTCATCTAACTCGCTTCTCGAAATGATTGAAGATGATTCGTCAACTACTCACTGTTTGCGAGGTTTGCAAAGTAGCAACTGCGTTGCTCAGGCACTTTTTCAACACAATGGATAGCATGCGATTTGAAGTTATAACTCTTGCTTGAGGCACATCTTATAAAACATATCTTCGTCACTTTTGATGCATAATAGCCTTCCCTCTCTCCTCTTCTTCACTTGCCCTCCCTTAAAAAATTTCTTAACGTGCCGCTTATAAGTTTTATTTGGCTTCTTCCTCCACCAGTTACGGATTTTTTGACCTGCCATACAGTGTATCCATTTTTAATGTTCAAAAATTTCTAAATGTATCACTATTTTTGATTTTTTGAGCTTGAACTTGTGAGTTCCTCCGCTTCGCTAACTTCACATTACTCGTAGTTGCGAAATGCTTTTAAAGTTGTTAAAAATTATGTCTCACGCTTTCCCTTTCTTTAGTCTCGCCTGTCTGCTTTTCTCCTTTGTTGGCAATTACTAAAGTTCCGCGAGGCCTGGCTGCGCAAAATACATGCGTTGTTGGCGAAATTGCACTCGTTTGTGAGTTTGGTTGAAAGTTGCAAAATGATAATCATACAAAAAGCCCGGATTTTTTTTGTTTCGGTGCAAGCACAAGTTTGTCAGCCGAAAATTAGCTTACAGTTTCTTATTGAGCATCACAAACCCATGTAGTCCCCTTCTTCCTTTACTCCGCTCCCCACCTCCTCCTCCTCCTCGTTCCTTACTTCGTACTGTAGTCTCCATTTTTTACTATCAAGCAAAATGTAAGAAGAGCAAATGAGCACGCGCCGGAACATTCTGTACATTCATCACTTTTGAATTCCTAAATCTTCACTGCAACTGCTAAGAAGAGTCAGTCCTCGGAGTGGTTTCCTCTCAGAGAAGATCTGCGATGGTTTATAAGTTTGCCCTTAGGATTCAAGCTGTATTTAGCGAATTTTTATACTGAGATGATTGTGCAGAAGGGATACTTCTGTTTTATCACTTTTCTACTGTTAGAAACCTTTTTTACGCCGTTACACGCTGTAGTTAGTGCGTTTGCTTAACCTTTTTTAACGCCACTTTTCGATAATTGAACCATGAACGGCACAAGTTGAGCCAGTTTCCAAAAGAACTATGAATGGTAGTTTTGTCCTTCATGTTACTGTTGCTTCTTTGTTATTCCTTTTATTTTTTTCTTGCTCTTTAAATCCTTTCTTAATTTCGTCTCCAAGCGCTTATCTGACTCTTTTCTGCTGCTTTCCATTCCTGCCGTTTTCCTCTCCAACGCCCTGACACTTGATTTTTTTTTTTTTTGCTTATCACTAGAGCATCGTACCAATGATTTGCGCCTTTAACCGCGCCCGACCGCTATCTATGTTTATAACTAAGGGATGAAAAGCAGGCAAATTTTTCCCTACATATTTTTTCCTACATGGCTTTACAATACACTGGCCGGTCCACGGGGTAGGGGGGCAGGAATCTTCCCCCCCC